CACACAGACACCAACACACCACACACACACACACACACACACACACACACACACACACACACACACACACACACACACACACACACACACACACACACACACACACACACACACACACACACCGCAATTTACAAGATTCCTGCACCAGCCTCATGTATCACTGTCCAACATTGAACCAGGGGTGTGGGGCTTGCGTGCCATGACCTGATGTGGGTCACACCCTGCGGTGCACGATTTCTTCCGTCCACTGTACAGCATTGTCTTCAAATTAACTAGTTTTGACGTCTGATCACATGCCTCATCAGACATTTTTGTCGCAGCTCAATCTCTCTCAACTCACCACCGTTTGCGGCTGCTTCCTTTGATTCCGCCGCTTCTTCTCGATTCCGAAGGCAATCTTGAAGGCATGACAACAAGCAAACTTAGCTCACGTCCCCGTGGTTGGCAAGCTCAAGGCTCACAAAGTTCCTTGCAAAGCTGTGGAATCCAGGGTTGCTGCCAAACTTTGGAGCGTTCCTGCCCGCCTTTGCCTCAAATGCAGACACACATACACGCATACACACGTATATATATTTATGTATACACATTCACATACATGCATATTTGACAATACATACTGTACATATAGGTTCCCCTCACAGACACCAAGCAGTACCTTATGCGTGATGACACGGAGTTGGTCGGCGACTTGCAGTAGCCTGCCGTTGGACAGCCGCATGCATCGAATGTTTTAGACCCTTTGGTGCTTACCATTCGGCGGATGTTGAGGTGCACCAATTGGATGCTGCCACTGACTACCGCCAGGACAGGAGGGTGACAGGGATACGCCAAGAGGGGCCCAAGGTGACCAGGCGAGCTTCAGTGGGAATCCGTTGAAATGGTTGCCGACATTTCTTTGTCGTGATGTGTGTGTATATATATAGGTGTGTGTGTGTGTGTGTTTGTGTGTTTGTGTGTTTGTGTGTTTGTGTTTTTGTGTGTGTTTCTGTGTGTGTGTGTGTGTGTGTGTGTGTGTGTGTGTGTGTGTGTTCGTGTGTGTTCGTGTGTGTTCGTGTGTGTTCGTGTGTGTTTTTGTTTGAATTCTCGAGCTTCTTGGAAATTGTAGAATTGCCATTTGGTCTGATTTTGACAAACGCCCACACCTAGCGGCTGCTGGCAGGCTCGAGTCGTATCCAGTGATGGGGGCGACTTTCAGGTGGGTGAAGGCCTGTGGGATCACAGCAAATGTGATGGGCACAACATGCAATGTATTTATATGCTCCCCTTGGTTGATATTTGGGTTCAGGGTGTGTACCTTTCGAGTAGAAGTCTTCCAAGCACCAATGCGATTTTTCGGATTTCCTGTTGCTTTTTCAGGTTATCCTTTTCGAGGTCGTGCTTGTGCTGAAAACCAAGAAACATCCAAGCGTCCAATCTTGGAGCCCAGGCCAGCCCGGATCGGCCTTTGGGGCGGCCGATCAGCGTGAAGTGAAGATTGCCTGGGGGCGCACCATGCCGGGCGCCGAGTGGGAGATGGCTTTTGGCACTGCACCTGTCTTTGGCGATGGATTTTATTCGGGAACCACCTACAAAGTGACTGGTGGACATGAATCCCCACCTAAATGATGTCCACCAAAGGGTCCCGTATTGAAATTCAGAGCCATTTGGCGGTGATCGGAGATCGTGGTGGACTCCTTCTGCTTGTATTGGGAGTCCCAGGCAGTGCCAGGTGGCCGGCGGTGTGGGCAAGTTCACCTTCGAAGAGCTTTGCGGTTTTAGCCTCAGGCATCCCCCGAGCATGGTCAATGTAGGAGGTAATCGGCCCATGTGGAGTTCCTCCTGACATTTTGCACAGTCCGGGCTTCCACTAGATGTAGCGAAGATGCCCTTTAGTCTTGGAGGGACATGCTGCCCACAATGCCGGTCTTTTCAAAAAGTTGGTCGGCAGAACCATCGGGCCTGATCATCTTTAGGACTTTGTGCTATTCTTCGGGATGCTCCCAAGACCACTACCAGTGGATGATGGGATTTTTGGACCTACCATGTGTGCGTGTGTATGCATATATATATATATACAAAGGGGGCCTGTGCTATTGAGGGTTGGTTTTGCGCATATTCGCGGCTCACTTTTCTGGCCCGCAGAAGGCTAGCCGGGGAGCTGGAAAGTGCAAGGGCTCCTACACACAAGACCATTCCTGGGCACAAGAAGAAATGGACTGCGCAAACTTATCCACCGCCGCCCCTCTTGCAGCTGTCCAACATCACACCTCCACAAAGCAAGGCTCGCTCAGCTCGATCAAGACCATGTTTTCTGCCATCCAGGGCTCCAAGCTATCCCATGTAGCACGTTGGGAGAGTATGAAAGACATATTGTTGATGTTGTCGAAGACCAAGAATCCGTGTTTGCGACGATTGAAGCCGCGAAGATCGGCCGATACATCATCTTGCACAGTCTGTATGTAAGGTGGCTTGAGCCAGGCCAGCTCTTGATGCAACGACTTCGCAAGAGTGCTCTTGCCACAGCGGGACCCGGCTCGCAGCGCTAGAAATTTATAACGGAGCAAGGGCATAGAATACTGACTGGCCCATTCCCGGACCAACTCCAGCACATGCTGCTTGAAGGGACGTTTCAAGGTTTCCAGAACCGCGTCCGCGGCTGCTTTCTCCCCTTGAAAGGCAGCTGCGCTGCTTCGACTTGCTTCAGCCGGCCGACAAAACCGACGCGAACCTTGCACCTCGCGCTGCGGGCAGCGTGGTCAAGAAACTTCCAGCACTTTGCAAGAAAAAGAGCTGTCTGCACTTCAAACCCTCCAGCTTCTCAACTGAAAGCTTACTCGGCAGCCAGGCGGCGCGTATTCCAGGTAAATATCGTGTGTCAATTTCTGCGAGGACCAGAGAGAGTCCAACCAGGCGCCGCGCACTGTGTAGTGCACCCACGGCTCGTGCCCGCTTGTTTGGACTCTCAGTGAGCCAACCTGAGCTGAATGCAGACACAAACAGGCAGCGCTTGCAAGAAGGCCTGGCAACAGTGGCCCGAAAAGAGCAAAAGAGGTGTCTACCTGAGTTATGTTCGCCTCCTCCTACGCAAGGATTTCCCGACAAGTGATGGCAGCCTAGGTGCTTTGGCGGCCCAGCAATAAAAATGGCCTTGGTCCACTGACTCCCGCCACTGCAAGGAGAACAGTTCGGGAGGACCTGACGCCACGCCAAGGGACACAGCGACGTCCAGTCGGGCGCCTTGTGAAATTCAATGTAGACATGCAAATGCAAGCGGTCCATGTTCTCAGCATGCTCGGACCGTTCCAAAGTTGCGGTCCAGCGGGAAATGCTCTCGACTGTCTGGATGAAGTCCACGAAAGGCTCAGAATCTGCATCTGTGAAATGGGAAGCATTATAAGTCAACAGCGCTGCAGCCGCTCGCAAACGGAACGGCGCCTGCAAAGCAAGTCCTAAATCGGGAAATACAACAGGCGAGGTTGACGCTAACTTGACTTATGTCTATAACGGGCACAAAAGGGCACGGAAATCGCTCGCGCACAAGCCAAGCCTTGGCGGTCGCAGGTGCTGGCGCTGCAGCTGGTGAACTGGCCGCTTGGCTCGCCTCTGCTGGCACTTGACGAACAGGCAGGGGCGCTTGACCTGGTGTGGCACAACATAGTAGAAATCACTAATCGTGCTGGCTTTTGTCGGAAGTATTTTTTTGAAGGGCCAAAAAATGCCCCCAAGGAGAAATCACACTTGCGAGCCCGGGAACCACCATACAGCTGGACAGCAGCGTCTAGCCTTTGCGACTGCGCTGGGGACAGGTCCTTGCTCCGAAGCTGTCAACGCAGTGAACTCGTCCGATCGAAACTCGTATCCCTGCACACGTGGAGCCTCTACGGCCACCTCATCAAGCAAGCCTCGAAGCTGTCCAGATGCTTGCCGCTTCCGCTTTGTCGTCTCTCGAGCCATGGCAATGCATGATGGCAACCAAAGGTGCAAAAAAAGTCGAACCAGTCTTTGACGATGGCAACAAAGGGTGCAAACAAAGG